CTTATGGCGCGCCCCCTGCCCGACCTCCTCCCTCTCCCTCCTTTATATATGTGGGCAGGGCACCCCTTGGAGACACACCAATTGTTCCAAGCCGTGTGTGGCGTCTCCCTCCACGGTTTACTCCTCCAGTCTTATTCACGTAGTGCTTAGGCGAAGCCCTGCGCGGATCACATCACCATCACCGTCACCACGCCGTCCTGCTGACGAAACTCTCCCTCGACACTTTGCTAGATCAAGAGTTCGAGGGACGTCATCGAGCTGAACGTGTGCTAAACTCGGAGGTGTCGTACGTTCGGTACTTGATCAGTTGGATCGCGAAGATGTTCGACTACATCAACGCGTTATCCTAACACTTCCGCTTTCGGTCTACGAGGGTACGTGGACACACTCTCCCCCTCTCGTTGCTATGCATCTCCTAGATAGATTTTGCATGATCGTAGGAAAATTTTGAAATTGCATGCTACATTCCCCAACATGATCAATTGCTCAAATTTTTACACAGTATTACACTACAAATTATCTGTGTTGTCCTAATTCTTCAAAATTATAGAGTTGCAAAAGTGAGATAGTAAAATGCATATTTACATATTGTTCTATTTTTGGCATATTTTGTTTCGGTTTCTTAGTTAGCTTGTTTTGGAGTTTCTATGGCTTATGTTGGGTAATATAAATTGTGGAAATTATAGAATATAGTAGACATCAATGGGAAATAATTATGAATCTTGTCTTGATAGTACACGAGTGAATGATTTATTTTTATTATACTAACCCATCTCACGAGTTCCGTTATGTTTCGTGTGAATAAAGTTTTTAAGTTTTAGGAGAGATGAAGATATGAGACGAACAAGGAGCGACAAGACTCTAAGCTTGTCGATGCCTAAGGCACCCCAAGGTAACATCTAAAAAAGACTCTAGCATCTAAGCATGGGGATGCCCTAGATGGCATCTCCTCTTTCGTCTAGAAAGTTGTCGCTTTATCTTACCTGGAGCTATATTTTTATTCTTCACGTGATATGTGTTTTGCTTGAAGCGTCATTTGTTTTATTTTGGTTGGTTTGCTTGTATGCACAATCATTTGTTTTTCTGGTCGCACCTATTATGAGAGACACACGTTATCTTATATTTATAGAATGCTCATTTATTCTTCACTTATATCTACTTGAGTTGAGGCAATTGATCTTGTACTTCATTTATATTTTATTGAGCATGATAATATGCATTGTAGAAATTATTTGCACTCTTTTGCTTCACTTAAATATTGTTGAGAGTTGAATAGGAAGTGGTAATTTGCATGAGTTATACGGTTGGTCCAAGGATAATAGGTATATAACAGTGGTATACTAAAAACTTGCATGGACTTGTAGATCATTGAATATGATAAGTTTGATTTTTTGCAATAGTTTTGTGATATTGAGGTAGTAATATATGAGTATGTTGGTAAATGATTAAAGCTAATTATTAATATTGGTGCTAAGGTTTGTGAACCTTTATGCATGAAGTTGGTAGCCGCTGGCATTAGTGAGGAAGTCTGAGTATGATTTATCTTAAACTGACATCCTTTGTGTGTTCGGATCGGGCACACTATGGTTAACTCTTATCAATCTCCCCTAGAGGCATGTTAGTTATGCATTGCTTCGAGGGCTACTAAAACTTTTACAATAAGTATTTGAGTTCTTTATAATTAATGTGATTTTTTGGTCTATAAGCACTTTCACATATCCATATTTTGCTAGCCCCTTCGGTACTGTGCATTGCCCACTCTCAGCCCGAGATATGGTGCAAACTTTGCAAGTACATCCAATTCCGTGAGATGATACTCTCTACACGCAAGCCTCATTTTATCTTTCTCAAAATAGCCACCATATCTACCTATTATTGTATTTTCATACCCATTTCGAGATATATTGCCATGCAATTTCCATTGCTACTATTCATTACATTACTTGAACATTCATTGTCATTATGCTTTGCATGATCATATAGTGCTGACATATTATTTGTGGCAAAGCCACCATTTATCATTATAATATATGTTACGCAAGATCATTGCACATCCTGGTACGCTGTTAGAGGCATTTATATACAATCATCATATTGTTTATGTTTCGAGTTGTAAGTAAAATAAAGTGTGATGCATTATTAGAGTGTGCCCCTACCTGCGAGGATATGAATTTGAGGAGACTTGTGGTTTCTCAGAAAACAGGGAGAGGCCAACGAACAAAGAGAAAAAATAGAGAAAAAGAGAGAGGGGACACTCTACTATCTTTTTACCAGACTTGTGCTTCAAAGTAGTAGCATGTATTTCATATAGTGTGTCTTCATGATCTTTATTTTTCTACACTAGTGGGATTTTTATATTATTAAAATTAGAACTTGATTTACATATACCGATGACGAGCTTCCTTAAAATGTTTGAGGTCTTCATGAGCAAAATGGTGTGGATGGTGGTGTCGCTGGTGCCAGAGGAGCGGAGAGGATCATAGAGTAGTGCGGTGTGGACGGCACTGGATTCCTACTTAAATAGGCGCGATGGTCAGGCGAAGGGACTGGATGTCAATTTCAATGTGGTGCAGCAGCCGAAGTAGGCTTCTCTGTCGCTGCGTATGCACTGAAGCGGTGGCGCCCGCTCACTCGATTGTGCCACTCTAATCGACAACAATGGCGGACCGTCAAATACGCTTTGGAGCGGTCAGTGACCGACATGAATATATGGGAAACCTTCACACGAGAGTTGTTTTGGATGAATAGGTTTCCGTGCGGGACTAAGTTGTAGGATGCGTGTGTGGCAACTGTGCGGACGGCCATAAAGGCCGCCTTCGGTTTGCGGGAAAACAGGCGCCCAGATCAGTCCGAGGTCCGATGGGGTGCCGCCTTGGATGACAAATCGCGTCCGAACCGTCCGAGCGGTCGTGGGCAGTTTAGGGGGCTGCAGTAACTCTATAATTAATAGGATAAAACTCGAGAATGGCATTTTAGCTCTCTTCCTCCATGGAGGCCGATTTTTGGAAAAAAAAATCAAAATTCCAGAATTTCAATTTAAAAAAATCTGCATTTTTTTGTATAAATGAACAAGGATGTGAGGCGTATGTGTGTAAAATTTCAAGACGAAAAATGTTGAAATGCAACCTGCAAAAAAAACAAAGTTTAGATGATGAATAGTATCATGTGTTAAAAGGCTCAAGATTTGTCTTTTGCACCACCCTCATTTGGACGTATGCCTTTCATCTATCTCTGTATTTTTTCAAATTGTTTTAAAACACGAACATATGAATTTTCACGAATTTTGAATTTTGCATTTGGAGGTCTCTATGGAGCTCAGCCTCCAAAAGCAATTTCCGGATAAAACGGGAATGCCGTTTTGGCTCTCGGCCTCCATGGAAGCCCTTTTAAAAAAAAATCAAAAATCAAAATTTTTGGTCTAAAAAAATCTGAAAAAAATTGTACAAATAAACAAGGATGAGAGGTGCGTGTTTGTAAAATTTCAGATGAAATACGTTGAAATGCGACATGTACTAAAAATTCACACACTTGCGCACTATGTCTTCATCTATCTCTGTATTTTTTCAGAATTTTTTGAAATGTGAAAATATGAATTTTCATGAATTTTAAAATTTGCATTTGGTGGCCTCCATGAAGCTCGGCCTCCAAAATTAATTTCCGGATGAAACTCCCTCTTTACATGTTAAAGAAACGTCACATCGCAATTCTTTTTAACAAAAAACAAATCTAGCCTACGAACTACACATACCTCACACGGTCAGGGTCATACTTTGTGCCGTTTCCCTATTATAAAACCCAGCAAGAGAGTCGAGCGAGTGAGCTCAAGAGCAGAGCAGCGGACGCCGGCCACACCACGCTCACGCCACCATCATAACGCCACTCCCACGCTCCACTCCGACTCCCGTCGCGTTCCATTTCAAAAACGCCACCTTTCGCCCCCTGCATTTCCACCAAGGCCTACATGTCTCCGACCACCGCCGCGTCCCCCGCGCCGGCGCCGGCAACCGACGCGCCCCCGAAGCCTTCGCCAGGCGCGAAGCGCAGCCTGATGGGATCCCTCATCGACGCCACCGCGCTGCTCCGGGCGGCCTCCTTCAAGGAGGACTCGTACGTGGCCGCGGCGCTCCCGGCCTCGGACCTCCGCGCGCTCGCCGACCTCAGGGCGCTCCTCGCCACCCACCCGGACCAAATCTCCATCTGGGGCGTGCCGCTCAACCCGCCCAGCGACGCCCCCGCCGACGAGCGCACGGACGTGGTGCTCCTCAAGTTCCTCCGCGCCAGGGACTTCCGCGTCCGCGACGCGCACGCCATGCTGCTCCGCTGCGCCGCCTGGCGGGCCGAGTTCCGCGCCGACGCCGTGCTGGACGAGGACCTCGGGTTCAAGGACCTGGAGGGCATCGTCGCCTACATGCACGGCTGGGACCGCGATGGCCACCCGGTCTGCTACAACGCCTACGGCGTGTTCAAGGACCGGGACATGTACGACCGGGTGTTCGGCGACGGTGACCGCCTCAGCCGGTTCCTCCGGTGGCGCGTCCAGATCATGGAGCGCGGCGTGCGCGCGCTCCAGCTCCGCCCCGGCGGCGTCAACGCCATCATACAGGTGACCGACCTCAAGGACATGCCGAAGCGAGAGCTCCGCGCCGCGTCCAACCAGATACTCTCCCTCTTCCAGGACAACTACCCCGAGATGGTCGCCCGCAAGGTACTCTTCTTTTCCCTACTGCCTTAGTTCGTGTGGTTTAAGACTCGCATTTCGTCGAACACCTGCCATTTACCTCACACCGTCGCCCACACTCGCGTTTGGCACCGAGCAGGTGTTCGTGAACGTGCCGTGGTACTTCTCCGTGCTGTTCTCGATGATCTCGCCCTTCCTCACGGAGCGCACCAAGAGCAAGTTCGTCATCGCGCGCGAGGGCAACGTCGCGGAGACGCTCTTCAAGTAAGCGCGCGCGCAGCTCCAATCGATGAGCTCAAATTTTGCTTCTCCTCGTCGCTCCGTCCCTATAATGTTGACACGGCGGTTGCTCGTTTCCAGGTTCATCCGGCCGGAGCTGGTGCCGGTGCAGTACGGCGGGCTGAGCCGCGCCAGCGAGCTGGAGAACGGGCCGCCCAAGCCGGCGTCCGAGTTCACCATCAAGGGCGGCGAGAAGGTCTTCCTAGAGATCGACGGCATCGAGGTACATCCCGTTATCCTACACGACAACGCCACGCCCCCTCCCGAAGTTCTCTGCGTCGCACAGGAGTAATTTTACGTCGCCTTACGCATATACTACTAGGGCACAAATCTGCTGAAATAATAATGCACAAAAAAAAGAAAATCATTTACGAGTGCACTATCCGTCACCTCCTCCTCGTGCCTGTCTCCATCCGGGTTCCCGAAATCGTCTTGTGCCTAAACAATTGCGGCCGGTGTGCTCGTTACCGGGCAAGAGCACAAACGCAAGGCTTTGTTTCTTTGCTTTCGCCGTGTCCCAGGCATTTGGCTCCAAGCGCTCTGGTTCCAGCTCCTCCTCCTCCTGGTTTTTACCTTTTCACCTCAACCGCGATCGAGAGGACGATAGGCCATGCATACCTACCACGGTAGAAGTAGCAAGCATCTTTCGACGAGATAGAATCCGTGGATGGATGGCAGTGCCGCATGTGGTGCGAGCGAGGCCGCCCTTACACCAATTTTGAAAAATCTCCGGCGTGGAACACTGCGAAAAGCCTTCTTGCCATGCCACCAGTGGACACTGCGTCAAGCACCACCGCAGTGGCCGCTGCCGCTGCCGCTGCGACGCTGCGGAGCAGGCTGACACGGGCATGGCATGGGATGGGGCCGGTTTCCTGGGTTTCCTTGGGTTCAGACGGCGCGCTGGCTCACGCGCCTGGAAAAGCTGGGTGTAGCTAGCTGTAACGCCGGTCACACTGCGCACGCACGTCCACCGCTTCACGAGAGAGCTCCCGTGAAGAGTAGCGTAAAATAAAATATTAATTAAAGAAGAGAACGGTGGCATGGCATGGCATGTGAGTTTCTCGGCCAGGTTTGAATGGAGTTGGCTCGTTCCGTTTCCGTTTCTTCTCGGCACCGCAACGCCTCCGCCGCCGCGGCTTGTCCGCCCTTGTTCTCCTCGTACGCGACGCAGCAGGCGCCGTGCTGATGTGAGAGTTTTACGGGATAAAGTATTGGCGACGACAGCGGCCGTGCGCTCTTTTCCTAGCTTTGCTTTTGTTTACGGCTCACGCCACGGCGCGGGTCTCCACGCGCTGTCACCACTCAGCAGCCCGTGCTGGCAGCGGCAGCGGCGACGTGGTGTGCTGAAAGCGAAAAGAGTGAAGAGTGCTCACTGTTTTGTTCAAGTACGCATTAGCAGGGACTGTCAAAAAAAGATTAGGGTAAATTTGGCGGTAAAGCCTCCGCTAATCTTTGCGGGTACGAGTACTACAAAGCTTACGCGTTCCCCTAATCGGAGGCGTAAAAGGGTGGTTCGTTTTGTTCGCTAGTGGCTAGGCTAGTGATGTGTCAGTGGTCAGTTCTTTTCTTTCTTTTCCAGCAACAGTCGATTCTTCTCTTTAACCGCTGTAAAGAAATGGGCACTGTTTTGGACTGTACGTCCAATGCTCACGTGAGCACGTGGCGGGGCCCGTGACAAGAAATTTGCTGCTGCTTCCTGAAGAACACGGGCGCGAAAAAGATAATTACGTTACTTGTATAGTGGTAAAGTGGTAATAGTACTCGTACATTTGCATGGTCATTTGAATACCGATGTGTTTTTTATTTCCAGGCCGGTGCAACAATAACGTGGGACCTGGTCGTCGGCGGCTGGGAGCTCGAGTACGGCGCGGAGTACGTGCCGGCGTCGGAGGGCGGCTACACGCTGTGCGTGGAGAGGACCAAGAAGGTCCCGGCCGCCGCCGACGAGCCCGTGCACAACGCCTTCACGGCCAAGGAGCCCGGCAAGATGGTGCTCTCCATCGACAACTCCGGCTCACGGAAGCGGAAGGTCGCCGCCTACCGCTACTTCGTGCGCAAGCCGTCGGCGTAGGCTGCTCGGCTGCTGTGGCCGGCGGCTTGCCGGCCGGCTTGTGCTTTGCTTTGCTCGTCTCGGAGAGGAGGTTAATTTAGGTCTATTTAATTAGTGCTATAATGTGATATGCATGTATTATGCCATATGTAGAATATATTGTATGAGCCGTGAGATCCTACTTGTCATCATCGTTATATAATGAGTTAAGTTTTTTTGGGGGAAGTTTACGCATCGTTACCCTATGTTTTGTTTTGAGTAGGACCATTTGAAGTTGGAATTCCTTAACCACCTTCTAGGCCCTGTTCGGGCGTCACGCGGGCAAACCTCACAAATTCTAGAGATATAGATGAAAACAGGAGGTAGGACCACAATTCCTATGTTCCACATGGCACCCTAAATATCAGACACTCCAAGGACATCATATGTTGCGGCCTGCCGGTACTTCGATTGCAGGATTTTCAAGCACATGAATAAGAAAAAAACATAGGGATTAGCCGATTAGGCCTCCTCGATCGCAAGGTTTCAACAATGCATGAACATGAAAAATATAGGATGACTTGGGTTTAGTCACTTGGTGGTCTTTTACCGCTTTCTTTTTCTGATTTCTCTTGGGCGTATTTGTTGTTGGAAGAGAATGTTTTGGCAATGTAACTCGATGTATTGATCCGTGCATAATTCGATGTATTGATTGATGCATAATGCACGTATATATGGGTGTACAAGGTGGGCCTTAACCTCAGCTATACAATGACTAGGAGGTGGGCCAGGATATACAATATACATGCACAACCATATACTCACTCCGTTCCTAAATATAAGTCTTTTTAGACATTTCAAACGGAATGCAACATGCGGATGCACGTAGACATATTTTAGAGTGTAGGTTCATTCATTTTGCTCTGTATGTAGTCACTTGGTGGAATC